GAATATGAGAATAATGTCTCAATAAATACTAACAGGCAAAGTCATCACAGCTGGGCATTCTGCAGCTAATTGGTAACTGCTCCATGCTTTTAAAGGGGAAGTTTTAAATAAAACAACAATATTCTACAGACTGACTGAAGCCAAATGGGGCACATAATTTTAACCAATGGATCCAGAATGCTTCTTTGCAGAGCTTTAAGCAAGGGATCCCCTCAGTGGCTGTTGCTAGGCAATAACAGTATTCCAGGCTGGGTTTCAGTGAATAAAAGGCAGGGGATGGGGCAGGGCCCTTTCCAGGCCTATTTTGGTCTTTGAGGGAAGACTCATTCAGGCCAGGCCTGACTAGGGTTGCCAGCTCCAGGTTGGGAAATTCCCATATTGTGGTGGAATCTGAGGAGAGCAGGGTTTCGGGAGGAAAGAAGACTCAGCCAGATCTAATGCCAGAGCCCACCCTCCAATGCAGCCATTTTCTCCAGAGGGACAGTTCTCTGTGGTCTGGAGGTCAGTTGTCTTTCTCGGAGATCTCCAGGTCCCACCTGACTTGTATGACTCAACTAGGCCTGGCTGCTTGGTACTGTTCAACAGCAGTTACCCTATGAACGCCAGTGTGGTATGGCAATTAGAGCTTCAGAGATGGGTCTAGGAGACTCAAGTTCGACTCCCCATCTTGCTGTGGGAGCTCACTGGGTGAGATTGGACCAGTCACATAGTTTCAGCCCAATGTACTTCACAGAGTTGTCATGTGGGTAAAAAGGAGGAGAGGAGCCCTTTCCTGGATAGCCCAGGCAAGCCCGATCCTGTCAGATCTCAGAAGCAAAGCAGGGCCGACCCTGGCAAGTCCTTGAATGGGAAACTTCCAAAGAATACCAGTTATCAGGAGGCAGACGCACCACACAACGGGGCCACAGGTTTCCTAGGCAGAGGCTGCTGGGAGGGGAGAGGGAAAGCTTAAGACAGTAGTGGAGAGAAAGGTAGGTTGGCTGTTGTGTGGAAATAGGGTTGCCAACTCCAGGTTAGGAAATTCCTGGAAATGGGGGGTGGGGTCTGGGGACAGTAGGATTTAGGGTTGCCAAATGGGGCCGGGGAATCCCCCGCTTCGGAGGCCTGATTTCCGCCGCGGCGGAATCGGGCCCCGGGGGGAACTCCGCCCCCGAAGCTGCGTCACCAGAGGTGACGGAGCCACACTACTCACATTGGGGGCGTGGCCCACATCTTTGGGGGGAAACCATATGGTTTTCCCCCCGACGATGTGGGCCACGTCCCCAACGTGAGCACGCAGCACGTCCATCGCGAACTCCCGGACCCCGGCGAGGCTTCCCCGCTCCGAGGGGTGAGTCGAGTTAGCAACCCTAGTGGGATTTGAAGAGGTGAGGGACCTCAGAAGGGTATAATGCCACAGACTCCACCATCCAAAGCAGCCAACCTCCACGTGGGGGCTAGGGATCACCCAGAATTACAACTGCTCTCCAGATGACAGAGAGACCAGTTCCCTTAGAGAAAATAGCTGCTTTGGAGGGTGGGCCCTATGGCGTTATACCCTGCTGAGGCTGCTTTGCTCCCCAAACCTCACCTTCCCAAGGCTCCACCCCCAAATCTCCAGGAATTTCCCAACCCCGGGCTTTTTTTGTAGAAAAAGCCCAGCAGGAACTCATTAGCATAATAGGCCACACCCAACAGCAAAAACCTATTAGCATATTAGACCACAGCCCTGACTGCACAGCTCATTAACATATTAGGCCACACATCCATGTTACCAGAGGTATGCTCATCCAGCCACGCCCACCTTTTGCTTCTTATTCTGTTGACCTTGTTTGTTGTCAAAACCCAGGGCTTTTTTTGTAGCAGGAACTCCTTTGCATGTTAGGCCACACACCCCTAATGTAGCCAATCCTAATGAATGTCTGCTGTTGGGTGTGGCCTATTATGCTAATAAGTTCCTGCTGGGCGTGGCCAACTTGGGAGCCAGCTGGAACTCCGTTCCTGTGCTTTCCTGCCCAAAAATAGCCCACAACCCTAATGGGGAAGTGATCTCTGCAGTTGGGAGATCTGTTGTGATTCCAGCAGATCTCCAGGCCCCACCTGGAAATTATACAAAAACTGAAGGTCACAGTGTTAGGAAGATATGGGAAAATATTTGACACTGTGTATAATAGATGCGTGCTTAAGGTAGATCTATTTTGTGCTTTTTATTTTTTAAACTTTTAAAGAGCCCTTAATACCTATAGAATGCTGGAGCATTGGCCTTTGACTTTGGAACTTAAGGTTTGCGTGTCTAATGCAAGACCTGGAAAGTGTTACAGTTGAGCTAGCTTTCTTATTTTCTTGTTGTATGATCATAACGTGCTGCATGCAGTAGAATTCTCTGACAGTAATTCAATAAACTTTATAAAATATATTTTTAAAAAATAAACAGTAGTCTGGTTGCTCGTATGTATCTTGCCCTGGGGAACCACAGAGTTCAGTTCTGGACTCCTTGACAGGGTTCAAGTCAGAAGAGGTCCCTACGCAATATACAGGTCTCCCCCATCCAGGCGGCACTGACCCCTTCAATACCTGCTTACCCTGAATGCAATGAGGGGTCTACTCAGACTGACTCCCGTGCTATTCCGTGGGGCTTCCTCCCAAGAGGAAAGTGTCCTCCTTATCACCTACGCTCCATCAGCAACCAAGGCCAGATCCAGAGCAAAACGGTGTGATCCTGCACACGTCTGCTTACTCGGCTCCTACTACAATGAAAAGGAGCTTTCTGTTCCCTGACCTCTAGAATTTATTATACGGGTCCTCTTAAAGGGGGTTTTTATTTGTTAAAACCACACAGCCGTTAAAAGAGGGGAGGGAAGAGCTACAGATAAGGATCAAAACGCTGAGCTCCAGGAAGCGCCAGGTTGTGTTGATGTCCGGGGGAGGGGGCGGGCACACCCCAGAAGCCCCCCCGGAATTTCCTTTCGATTTCCCTAAGTTTCGTTGTCCGTGTAGTCTGCAGCCTGCGGCCGCGCGGGAAAGCCACAAAGAAGAGTTTATTACCTGGAGCAGAAAGGTCTCTTCTTTCTTGCTGGGAGCAAAAGGTAGGAGCCCTCGGTTACTACTCAGTTTGATCTAGGCCTGTTGCTGGACATTGGCCATTTACACGGGCGGCTCTCGTTTCAGAAGCGGCGCGCTCAGAGGATGCTGCCGAAAGCAAATGTTGGAGGTGAAGCTGGCGCCTCTTATCTGCGACGGCAGGGCTTTGCTTTCGTGCTTAGAGGCATTTTCATCCCCAGAAAGACGGAGGGCTGCCTTGTGTTTCTGCCCTACATTTGGTCTCCCACTAGCCTCTGGCTGGCCCTGGGTCTGACTTGGGTCCCTGTGGTTCTGCCTGCTTGTATGAACGAACATCGGTCGTTAATGCAGCCCTGGGTTTCTAGACTGCTTGGGAAGGAAGGGCTTTTGTAGGGCAGCTGCGACGGCAGGGCTTTGCTTTCGTGCTTAGAGGCATTTTCGTCCCCAGAAAGACGGAGGGCTGGCCCTGGGTCCCTGTGGTTGTGCCTGCTTGTATGAACAAGGGGCTAGAGATGCCAACCTCCAGGTGGGACCTGGAGATCCCCTGGAATTACAGCTCATCTCCAGACTACAGAGAGCATTTCCCCTAGGAAAAAATGGCTGCTTTGGAGGGTGCATTGTACCCTACTGAGGTCCCTGTCCTCCCCAGGCTCCATCCCCAAATCTCCAGGAGTCCCCTAACCTCGAGCTAGCAACCCTACCCCTCTATCCTCTGCCGGTGGCCAAGGGGGACCTGGCAACTCTAGCAGGGGCTGAGAGGTGGCAGTAGGAGGCCTCTCACTGTTCTGAGTAAGCTGATGACCCCAAAATGAACCTGCCTGATGTGAAGTCAGGCTATTGGGTCTTCTAGCAAAGAAATATTTATTCAGAGTGCCAGGGTCTCAAGCAAAAAAAAAAGGGGGGGGGAGGTTTTCCTTCCATTCACATACTGACTGATCATTTAACAAGTTACTTTACATGTAGGTCTGGGTCAGGGCCGGCCCCAGCTTTTTTTGCACACTAGGCGAGGATACCTTCTGCCGCCCACCCCCCACCCCGGTGCACCCACCAGTTTTCAAACATAAATGCATTTTAGGATCCATCTTGAAAATGGCAACAGAGGGGGAAAAGATCTGCATGCCGTGTACAACTCTGTGCACATCTGTTCCCCACCAAACCATTTCTGATGGCAAAATCCTGCAGGAGGGAAGCCAAAAGCTCTCCCTTGCCCAAGCCCAAACAGAGACTGAGAGCTTTTGAATGGTGAGTTGTGTGTATTGTGTGTATTGTGTACTATAGCCTTTAGCAAGGTCTCACTGCAAGATGTTACAACTGAAGATGCAACAACAGAGGCAACAAAGCTGGTGAGGTGCACATCCATTTCTTTTGTTTCCCTGTCATCAAGCATGTCTTGCAGGAATTTGAAGCAGTGGAGAAAAAGCCCTGCCTGGCCCCACCTACTTTATAAAGACCCACGGTCACCATCTGGGAACCATCGCACTGTGGGGTTTATAAAGATTTCCTGCATGGCACACTTTTGTGTAACAAGAACTCTGAGGGGAAGAGAGGGTTTACTCCCACACTCCTTCTGCACTCATTTTATGGTTAAACAGCTCAAAATGTTTAGCACCCCTCTCATAAATTATCTCCAGTTTGGTGTAGTGGTTAAGTGTGCAGACTCTAATATGGGAGAACCGGGTTTGAGTCCCCACTCCTCCACTTGCACCTGCTGATGTGACCTTGGGTCAGTCACAAGCTCTGGCACAGCTGTTCCTGAAAAGAGCAGTTTCTGTCAGAGCTCTCTCAGCCCCACCCACCTCACAGGGTGTCTGTCGTGGGGAGGGGAGGGGAGGGGAAAAGAGTGTGTAAGCCACTCTGAGACTCCAAGTGAAGGGCGGGGTATAAATCCAATCTCTTCTCTCTTCTTCTTCTCTTTTAAAGTTTTTCCCCCTGTTTTCCAAAACATTTCAGCTCCCTCCAGCATGGCTTCCACTGAAAAACCTGCTGCCATTATACAGAAGGCCAGGAGGAAGCTGGCCGAAGCTCTCCTCCAAATAGAGCCAGGGGTGATCCTGGACGTGGTGGACACCCACCTGCTCCTCAGCCAGGGCGAGTACTTCTCCTTGAGCCGCATGAAGGATCCACAGGGGTTGATACAAGACCTGATCGACACGGTGCTGAGAAAGGGAGAGGCTGCCCACGAACAGTTCCTCGACTGCCTGGAAAACATGAGGCATGCCTTTCCCAGCTTGCGCCCAATTTCCGAATACTTGGAGTCTGGTGAGTCGTGCTTCCTGGTGCTCAGTGTTCTTCCTCTTCCCGTGGAAACTAAAAGTTGCCAACTTCTTAATGTGACTTTTAACTGAGAGTTGACTTGTGGTGATTAACAAGCGATGCCTTATATAGCATAGCTACGCCCTGAGAAGCTTCGCCTGCTAATTCCGGCATTAAAAGTTGGTGTTAAAGGCAGAGTGTAGGCCAGACTCCCCCTGGTCAGTTGTAGACGATGTCGTCCTTTTGCAAGATGCAACTTTTGTGTTTCTAACTGCTGCCTAACAGGCAAAAATTCAGCAGGTGCAGCCTTTCTTATTTCTGCCTCTATGCCTGGAGCATCTGTACTTGTTGAATGTCATTGCATCACACCTAATGTGATTTGGGCTTGTGACTCTTCACACAAGTGTTTATGTAGGCATTTTTCACTTTGCAACGGGAATGTTGGGTTTTGCACCCTAGGAATGCTCAGGAGTTAAACTCAGATTCCAGCTGCCTTCTTGACAGAGAGGTAGTTTCCTCCTCCCTATTCTTAGTAGCAGAGAAGGAGCAGTAAAACAATTTGGAGGCTAAACAAGGGAGAGAGAGGAGAGTTGGTACTCTGGCCTGGTCACGTAACAAATGGAGAAATTCCCAAGCTGTCTTGTTTACTCAAGGGGATTTTGGAGAAGGAGGCCAACTGGCTTTAAGAAGGGGGGCAGCCAGTCTTTGCAGCCTTCCAGGGTAGCCATACTATCATGGGTTAGGGTGAGTCCTTTCTCTTGCTGTTTCTAGGCTTTTAAAAACTTAGGTTCAGGCTTTTGAGCCGAGTAAAATTATAGAAGGCATCTCTCCGGGAATAAGCTGGAATTTCAAGAATGGTAAGGATGAGATGGAAGTCAGGCACAGGTGCAAGGGAGATTATGGGGCCAAGAGTTTCAAGGCCAGGAACCAGGAGGGAATTTTGCACTTACATTCTGTCTCATTAGCACAAGGGACCCTGGGTATATGGGAGGGTTGCTTAATTGTGAAGATGTGTCAGCTGTGGAGGTATGTGGTCACATGTCTTAGCAGCACACCTGCTTGTTCAAGCCAACTGGGATCAGGCCAACTGCAGACAGTTGGGCATAAAAGGAAGATCCTTCATTCTGGTTTGTACTTTTGAGCCTCTCTTGAGTCTTGACTTTTTGGTTAGGCCTTGTGTGGTTGGAATAATTGCCCTTTGGATTTTGGAACTCTGTTAGGACTCTGTGCCTTCACTTTGGTCAGGCAACATCTGGGTCAGAGGACCAAAGCCTGTATTTGATTTCAGAAGAGGGAACGTTACAAAAATGAGGGTAGTAGTAAAAAAGAAGCTGAAGGGGAAACCCAGAAATCCCTAGAGGATACCAGGAAGCTGTTTAAGACCACACTAATTGGTACTGGGGTGGTACTGTTTAATTTATTCACAAATGATTTGGAGGTAGGGGTGAGCCAAGTTTGCAGATGACACAAAATTATTCAGGATGGTGAAAACCAAGGCTGATTGTGAAGAGCTCCAAGGGGACCTCCAGAAACTGGGTGAGTGGGCAATAACGTGGCAAATGCACTTCAGTGTGGGTAAATGTAAGGTGATGCACACTAGGACAAAAATCCCAGGTTCATGTATAGGCCATTGGTCTGCACTTGCTGTGACTGAGAGGGAAAATTATCTCTGGATTGTAGTGGATAGAGTAATGAAAATGTCAACCCAATGTGCTGCAGTGGTGAAAAGAGCAAACTCAGTGTTAAGGATTATTTGGAGAGGGATTGAGAATAAAATGGCCAACATTGTAATGCCCCTGTATAGATGTGTGGTGTGGCCTCATTTGGAATACTGTGTACAGTTCTGGTCACTGTATCTCAAAAAGGACATTGCAGAGCTGGAGAAAGTACAGAGGGAGGGCAACCAAGATGATTAGGGAGTTAGAGCCCCTTCCCTGTGAGGAAAGGCTGAAGAGTCTGGGACTTTTCCCTTTAGAAACGAGAGGACTAAGGGGAGGACATGGGGGTGGAGAGAGCTGACAAAGAGAACTTTTTTCTCCCTCTCCCAAAATATTAGAACTCGGGGGCATCTAATGAAGTTGATGGGCAGTAGGTTCAGGATGGACAAAAGGAAATACTACTTTACACAGAGATGGAATTTGCTGCCAGAGGATGTAGTGATGGCCACAGGAATAAACAGCTTCGACAGGGAATTAGATAGATCAAAGAGGATGAATCTATCAATGGCCACTAGCCATGGTGACTAAGAGGAACATCTACATTCAGAGGCACTAAACCTCTGAATCCCAGAGCCAGGAGGCAACATCAGGGGAAGGCCTCAGCCTCTATGCCGTGTTGTTGGCCCTCCAGGCGAACTGGTTGGCCACTGTATGAGACATGAATATTGGATTATATGAACCACTAGTCGGATCCTGCGGAGCTGCGAGGAACTCGATAATTTAGGCTTGAGGTTCTATTTTTTTAAAAATAAATTTTATTAACAATTTTTTCATATTATAAAAGGCTTGAGGTTCTATTGAGATGACTGAGGCTTCCTTCAGTGTTGGTGGGATTCTGGCCTGTTTCAAAGTGATCTCTCTGCTGATTAGTAACACCTGCAGAGCAGTTTCTGTTCCTTGGAGATTTGGCCTTGGAAGACTGTCTTATCCATCCTCCCCGAGTTTTCTTCTCACAGCAGGTGCTAATTAACTGATCCACCCTGATTGGCCATTGAGTTGCTGGGTAATGCACTAATTGCTGGAAAAGATAGTATTTTAATGTGTAGGGCCAGCTACTCTTGACCCTCTTCCACTTTGGCATGAAGAGGGCCTGTATCCTATCAGATGGGTGAGGTGGGTGACTGAATTCTTGAAGGTAGAGAGGTTCAAAGTTTTCTGATAGGCAGATTTTAGATAGTAATAATTGAGGTTTATTTGTTTTATGTCTTTTTGCCTATGACTGAGTGGTTTATACTTTACAACACTCCTTAAGTTAATAAATTTGATTTCTGTTTCAAGCCGTGTCTGGAATCATTGACTCAAACATAGGTGCACCCCAGACCGAACCTGGAGGGTGGAAAGCCAAGGCTTTGTAAAGGGCAGAGCTTTCACCCTCACAAAACAAAAAGTACAGGAGTGGCTGTTTTCAGCCCCCAGAGTAGGAGTTTTGGGGTGGCTTATCCCTATAAGGGCACTTCTTATGCTCTTATGTATCAGTATTTTAGGTTGGCTCCGTAGATTTTATTAGTTTCTTCCTTTGCTTTGCACTGTTCTCATAGTTATATATTCCTTGCAAATTTCTTTTAAGAAACCTTATTAATTATATTCCTGTGGTGTTCTTTGGGTTTTGGGGCTTCAATCTAAATCCAGTACCTTGGCCTATATTGGCTTCAGCTACCAAAATAATTGTTTTTGGGACTCAGCTTGCAAGCGTCCTACCTTGCAGGTCTGACTTCTTGATTAATGCCCAGTAGGGCTGGAGACTCTGTCTCTTGGTCTCTGAGCTGAAGAGTGAATGAAAGGGACTGGTGGTGGCTTGTAACCCTGGGCAGTGAGGATTCACTCCCCAGCATTTTGTGTTTTGCTCTTGCCTTGACCTGTCACCACCTTGACACATGCTTTGACAAGGTATTGGGAAGCAACCATCAAAGTAAGCAACACTACCAAGTATATAGCCTGATCAGAGATGACTGACCAAATGAAGAAAGCAACAAAGCAACGGGCAACTATTTTAGTCTGTGTAATGCAGATCAGACACCGTTTCCTGTTTGCTTGCTAACATCACTTGACCAAAGTTTGGTTCAGGCTTCTAAAGCCTATTTAGGCCGTGAAATGCTTGCTAGATTGTGCTTGTGAGAAGCTAATGAGGTGCCTGAGTTTCCCTGGAGACAGAGGAAGATACTGATAAGGAGGAGAGTTATGTCCTTGACTCCCCAGCTGCCAGTACTTAGCTGTGCCGGCCTGTGGAGCCATTAATTAATTAACACATTCCCATGTGAGAGCACCTGTGTGTAGGGGGGGGGACTGAGACCATCTCTAGAATTTTAGGATTCCTTCCTCTAAGCTCACAAACAAGTATTATGGGATAGTTGGTCACCCTGGTTACGAGCAAGGTTGACATCACTTTCCCGGACTGTGAATGGTCAACAGGCCTGGATCATTCACAGCCCCTTTTCCTATAAAGTAACTTGGTGTTTAGTGGCCATTAGGGACTGCTTGAGTATTCTGGCCAAGTGGGTCAATACTCTATGCAACCCCAGTATGCCTTGATGCTTGAAGACCACCCGGATGGGATGTGCACTCTGTATCCAGAGACTCTGTATCTTGAACCTTAAAACGGGTAACTGCTTGTACACTGCTTGTAAGTATTAGCTATGCTGGAAAAGCCTAGATCTATTGTTTTGTCCTTCACTGCCTAAAGTCTTGTGTTTTATAACTTTGCACAAATTTACTTAAATAAAGAAACTTATATTTTTACTTGGGACTGGGTTATTGACCTCACGAACCTCAAAGCCTAATTCTTGTGCCTTAGACTGCAAGGTGTTTCTACTACCAATAATTTGTCTAAGTTCAGTTTGTGGTGGAGACTGCAGACTTGTTCTTTGATTTGTGTCCCAGAGTCAGCCTGGAGATTTGGGTTGCTTTGCTCCAGTCCTGTTGAGAACTCTGAAAGTAACCTGGTGGCAGACTACTACTTTGTATCCTGAAGGGGTTGTTAGAATTCCTTCAGCTTTGGTAAAGTGCTTTTGTTATCTGTTCCTTGAGCCCAGACTGTGGCCCTGGAGAGGACCAAGTCTGTGACAGTCTGATCAACAAGTCAAATTTGCCTGTTTCTTCAAATGTCACAGAGATAAGAAGTGCAGGTAGAAGAAATGCATCCCCCCCACACGTGTTCGTTTTCCCTGTACTCAGATGTTGCAGTCCGAAGCTTTTCAAGTGCACTTCTTTCTTTATTTAGTGTAGTACTTTTGATTTTTAGAAAGTCTTTTCCTGAATTTGGACTCACTTGGTGTCTACACCCATGAAGAGCCTCATGCTTTGGGAACAGCCACACCTACCAAGCTATGGAGAAGGAGCAGAGAGTGCCTGTCTAGTGGAGAATATCTCCAACAAGCAAGGCTTTAAGAATTTCCCCCTGCCTCTGTATTGGTTGAAAAGGGAGGGGGTGTGTCCGTTTCTGGCTGGCAGACTGTAAGCCTCTTAAAGCCCTGTGGTGGCAGCTGTGAGATACACACAAAGGGACTGAGTGGGACAAAAACTGGGAAAAGGCATGCTCCTCACTGAGGTCTAACACCTTGAGGCTAATGCCAGAAGTACCAAGCCTTCATTCCTAGTGATGAAACAAAGGTCTGTAGGGAGGCTTTATCACAGTGCTGTCTCCAATAAGAGGTGGGGGAGGGGAAGCACTTGAGTTTTTCATAGGGAAATTCAAGATGTTAGAGACCTGGATTTGTGTTCAGTTCTTTTCTTTTCTTTTTTTCTTATCAGATATTGTAAGTCCCACAAATAAACTTCACAGCTCAAGCCGTACTGTGTTCTTGGGGAAAGGAGGTAACGCTGAGAATACGGCTCAGGACCTGGATTCTGGCGCACCCTTCAGGGTTCCCCAAGAAAGAAACATGGATGAGAATCCGGATCCTTCTGTCTCCTCAGAGGCAGGAAGGGATTTTGAGAAGCCAGGTATGGCTTTGCCCTCAGGAAACAGAAGTGGAGTTCAGAACCTGGCTGCCGTTGAGGATGGAAATGGAGTGGAGAGACCAGGTGCGGCTGCCACAGGCCCTCAGGAAGGGGGCCAGGCTGAGAACTTGGAGATTTCTGTGTCCCTGGAGGCGGCAGGCAGGGCTGAGAGCCCAAACAGGACAGGAAGTGGTGTGGAGATCCTGGGCACTTCGTTCCACCTGCACACTGAAGACACTTCAGGGGAACAAAGTGGAACCAAGTCCCCAGCAAGAAGAGGAAGAACTGAGAGCTCAACTCAAGGTTTGTATCTAAGTCAAATGGCGCCAGGAAGGCTCCATCCTTCTGAAGTGTACCATGCATTGGCAAAACCCAACTCCAGTCAGTTTAAGTTAGGTTTCACCTTTAGTGACCAGCGAGGAGATATCTGCTTGGCTGGCTTTTGTAAGTCCCCACAGATGGTGGGAGAGGTGAGATGTCAGTATTTTATGATATAAACGTAATGGGTCTCTATCCTCTCAGATCAACTTTACGTGTTGCATCCTGTGTAAAATGTTTCTGTTTAAAGTCACAGGGTATGCTCCCCCCCACACATGCACACTATGCTGTCTACAGCCCTCATGGAAAAAAGGGAGGTCTTTCTTCCTAGGGCTCCCAGGTCTTCCTTTCAACAGGTGCTGCCTTTCCTTTTTAACTGCTGCATCTCCAGGCCAGGAAAATCTGAACCACTTGAATTTCCTTACCTCACACTCAATGTGAATGCTAAGTGAATTATGAAAAGAAGTGCCTTAGGTTCTCAGGGTCATGATTATTGTTCACTCTGTTTCTGTCTTTTGATTCTTATCAGGTCCTGTAGATCTCAGGAGGGAAACTGAAAGCCAAAGTACTGCGGTGTTGCTGATGAGTGGGGCTGAGAAGTTGGGTCCAGCCATGATCCCGAAGGGGGATGAAGTTGAAAGTCCGAATCCTTCTGTGTCCTCAGAGGCGGGAAAGGAAGCTGAGAAGCCAGACGCTGTTCCAGGGCCTTCAGGAACGGAAAGCGAAGCTGAGAACCCAGATGTTGTTCTCTCCTCCACCCAGGGGGATGCAGGGAAGAATCAGGATGCCACTGAAGATGCAAATGGGATGGAGAAACCAGGTGTGGCTGCTGTGTGCCCAGAGAGAGGTGGCCATGTTGAGAACCTGGAGGTTTTGTGCTTCTGGAGTTTGCCCTCTAGAAAAGAAAATGGAGCAAGGAAGCTGAATTCTTTTGGAGATCCAGGGGGAAAGAGCCAAATTTTCAGGCATCCCTGTATCCACATTCCACAGGGGAAAAAAGTAGAGCCAAAAATCTGGACAGTGAGCATACTAGAATTAGTGCGGTAACAGTGAAGACATGTAAGAAACTTGCGGGATGGTTAGAACATAACAGCCCTTTTGGATCAGACAGGTGTTCATCTAGTTTGTCATATCATATTTCACACTATTGACAACCAGTTCCTCTGAAGGGCCAACAAAGAGTGCATAGAGGCCAAAGACCTCCCCTGATGTTTACTCCTAACACTGAGTTTCAGAGGTTTCCTGCCTCTGAACATGGACGTTCACTTTACTCACCAGGGCTAGTAGCCATTGATGGACCTGTCATCTCTGAATCACTCCAACCCCTTTTAAAGACATCTCTGTTTGTGGCCTCATTACAAACACTGGCAGTTGAATTACTCTCTGAATAAAGAAATATTTTCTTCAATCTGTCTTCTACCTCTTGCCCATCAAATCCACTGCATATCTTTGAGTTAGAGCATTATGAGAGAGGGAGAAAAAGTTCCCTCTATCCGTTTTCTCCATATTATGCAGAATTTTATAAACCTCTATCATGTCTCCCCTTAGCTGTCTTTTTTCAGGTCTAAAATATTTCATACTCTCCAGCCTTTTGGCATAGGAGGGGTACTCCAACCCCTTAATTATCTTTGTTGCACTCTTCTGTACTTTTTCCAGCTCTGCAGTATCCTTTTTTGAGATACCGTAGCCAGAACTGTGCACTGTTTTCCAAATGAGGCTGCACCATAGCTTTATACAAGGGCATCATATTCAAACCACTATAATTCCCCAAGATCTCTTTCAATCTTGATCTCAGCCCCTTCAGAACCCTTTAGGGTTTTTTTGGAACAGTTTCACCTTACTCTTATCCAGGTCGAACTTCATTTGCCACTTTGCTGCCTCCTCACCCAGTTCAGAGAGATCTTGTACCTTTCACCATCCTGAATACTTTGGTATCATCATAATACTAATTGTATTCTTATAATAGTTCAGGATGCAGCCTTGTGTACACACACATGAGGTTCAGATTCTTTTTTTTTTTGTATATTTATATTTTGCAACAACATATCATAATATGAATAACATTAGTATACAAATGTGAGGTTCTGATTCTTGATCCAACAAAGTCAGTATTGTCAAATCAGACAGGCAATAACATCGCCGAGGTCCCAGGCAAAGGTCTTTCACATCATGTGCTCCCTCATCCTTTTAGCTGGAGATGCCAAGGATCGAACCTGGGCCCTTCTGTATGCCAAGCAGGTGTTATACCACTGAGCCACGGACTCTCCCCTACAATACCTTGACAAACAGCTGGGGAAAAATACTCCACAAGATTTCGTTTGTGGGCAACTTAAGCTTCCTGGTTTCAAACCCCTTTAATTTTCGTGTGTGTAATTTAAACTTTCTGGTAATATATGAGAGGGATTTTGTTATAGAAATCTGGGGTGGAACAATAAACACACAACTCTTCTTTGGGAGTGATGATTTTGGAAGCAGTGAGAGGGAGCTATGCTTAATGTGCAAAAAATGTTGCCTGATAACACAGCCTGGATTAATGTGGTGCAAAATCTGGTCAATTGTCTCTCTGGTGCAAAAAGAAAGTGACCAGGTGTATAAACGGCCTGTGGCTGCTGACAGGCTAGGGAGACTGTAAGCAAATGTGGGTTGGGGTCCAGCTCTGCTTTCCAGCCCTGCAGCCGACCTCTTGTCCCTCAGAGTTTCTGTACAAGAGCCTGGATGACAAGCAAGTTAGTGTGTGGTCTGTATGATAGAGTGTAAAAGGGCTTGGGAGATCTAAAGGTGTCCATTTTTGCAGGCCTAACAGAAACTGCCGTCACTTTTTGTCCCCCTCCTCACCAGCAATTTATTTATTTATCTTTGAATTTATATCCCACCCTCCCCGAAGGCTCAGGGCGGCTCAGAAGAGGCATATATGCCAAGGTTAAAACAATAAGACAATATAAAATACAATATGTACAATTCACTAAAAATAACGGTGCTCCAAAAATTACTTAACCATGAATTTCAAGATGGGGTTCTAGAATTATTTATGCCAGAACAACAATATACATCCCAGCAGCACTGTCATCTGCTAGGAACGTCTCGTGCCCCCGATAATACCCGCTCAACTGATGGTCAAAGTGCGGAGATGAAGGAGGTGGTGGAATAGTGGTGGCAGCGGCTCCTACTCGAAAGCCTGGTGGAAGAGCTCCGTTTTACAGGCCCTGCGGAACTGCACCAGGTCCCGCAGGGCCCAGATGTCTTCTGGGAGCTCATTCCACCAGGTAGGAGCCGCCACCGAAAACGTCCTGGCGACAGCAAATTTGATGTTCCTGGGGCCTGGAATGTCGAGGAGATTTTGATTCCCTGACCGTAGTGCCCTTGGGGGAACATGCAGGGAAAGGCGGTCCCTTGGGTAAGCCGGACCCTGGTAGGGCTTTAAAGGTTAAAACCAGCACTTTGAAGCGAATCTGGTACACCATTGGCAGCCAGTGCAGCGCTTTCAGCACAGGCCAGATGTGATCCCGTCTAGCGAGACCCATCAACAGCCTGGCTGCAGCATTCTGCAATAGCTGCAGCTTCCAAATTTGCGACAAAGGCAGCCCCATGTAGAGATAATTTCCCTTTCCCACCAGAGGGCTTTTTGGGGTGCTTCAGTCACCATTTAACAAACCACTATAGGGATTTAATGCTGTCGCAATACGGCGGCCGTGTGTTGCTCTGAATTCACAACTTTCATAGCCCTTTTTGGTTGTAATGTCAGCACAAATAAAAGGGACTTGAGATTTTTGTTTGGCTGAGTGTTGCAGCTTAGATCTAAACAGGACACAGTGGGGGAGCATCTTCACTTATTCACATGTATATCTAGTTGTTTATAAGGCATGTGTGTGTGGAGGGTCAGACCTTTTCTGTAACTCCAAACAACCTACGAGTGATGGCATTTAAACATGGCCCCTCGTCTCACCTTTATGACCATTCTGTGCTCTGTTGGATAAAACTTTTCCCTCCTCCAGGCTGGTAAGCACTTCTCTCACCTGTGTGGTTTTTCAGTTTTAAAAAAATCCTCCTCTATGCTTTAATAACTTATTGTCCTGTCACACCAAGCTTTGACGATGGTGTTTGGGTGCAATGGGGCCTTATTGGGTCATTGAATGCACCCTATTTATGTCTAGCAAGTAAACCAGTTGGGTATGAGTCTGTAATGTAAATCAGTCCCTAGTGAATTGGTTACATAATTTGGCGATACAATTGTTCTTAGGGTTGCCAACTGCCTGGAGGGAGAAATGTCCCTCTAGCAGAGGCTTGATGGGATGTTAATTCACTTCATGGTAGTCGTGCCTTAGGGAGTTTTGCGTTGTTGCTTGCATTGTGTTATGATCCTGTACCCTCGTCCTGCTGCATTGTTGGCTGGATGTCTTGTAATCCACCTTCAGTCTCAGTGACAAAGGTGGGCTATAAATTCCTTACATAGAAATCTGTTTGGAGTAACTGTACGTTTAGGGTTCTTTTTTTTAAAGAAGGATCTGTGATTTAAGAGTACATTTCCAAGACTTGACTATACCATTCTGACTTTTCAGCTTGGCAGTTTAATGCGTTTGTGTTTCTAGGCTGCTCAAGTCTGCAACAAAAACCTGAAGTCCACCAAGAAGCACATCAAGAGGAGGAACGCCCTATCAAAGGTATCTTCTTGTCTGCTGCCCACATAAAATCTTCCATATTGTCTCCCCTCTATCTTAATGTAGATTGTTCAGTAGCATCGCCAGATAGCATCTCATTTCAAGGGGGACTGTCTCAAAGTATGTCCCTGTCCAGGGAGGTCCTCCTCAGTGGCATGGGTCAAGAAAGGTAGCATGTGCCTCTTACCCTCTTCTGCTCTGCTTCTAGAGTTTCTCTTGCATCGGGCAGTGGGAGGCAGGTCTGGGAGGAGATCATGGCTACCAGTGGCACCTGTCACTGGCTCCTTGCGGCAACCCCCAGTAGCCCCTTGGATCATGTATTTAGTGAACTATCCCAACATCCAGTTGTTTGCAAGGATCAGATCTGCTTTGCTTCAGATGTGAAACTACAGTGGGTGCTTTCTTCACCTGTAGTCTGATGTTTTATGTTTGTTCTAATGAACTAGCATGAAATAAAGAGTTGTTTCACTTTTTACTGGTCACCAAGTAATGTTATCCTAATTAGCAGAGTACGATGCAAAAGAAACATGGTATAAATAGGCTTAACATAAAATCCGTAATAGTACTTAATAGAATATAGTTTTAAAATTACATATGTTTGACATCTTGAGAACTCCCCTCATGATTTTCTCTTCTTTTTTTTTATTGGCTTGTTTAGCCCTGCTGTTTCTCGAAGAGAAACTGGTAAACATACTCTTCTTGTCTTCTTTGCATTGCAGTTTGAAAAATTGATACATAGGAGCAAAACGAGTGCAAAACCAAACAAAGATATTTGCAAATATTCTTAATGTATGTAACAAATTATGACTGCTGTGCAGAGCCTGGTATTTTTAGCAAAAAGTACCACTTTGATTCTATATGTCTATTAAAGAAGCCTCTTGTTTCTTTTTTCATGGACCAGGGCCTTTTAATTTCTTTCCTCATACTCCCCTTTATGTGAGACACTGAATGTTAGGCTGTAATACTTCTACAATCTCCTCTTACAGAAAGAAGAAAAGCGCTTCAGGACGTGCTCACAAAGTTAAACTTGGAGAAGAATCGAGGCAAGAAATTTTCCCTGCAAGAAGTCCTAGAAATCAAGTCAGAGAGTCTCAAGGACTGCGCTCCCCGTGCAACGGAAGACTTGCCATGGCATTTTCTGAGGAAGGTCTTGGCTCTGAACGTGACAGCCAGGAACACAAGCCTGGAGAAGGGGACATCTGATGGTCAGAGAACAAGAGAAGAGGAGGGGGAAAATACGATTGATGAGAGTATCTTTCTCAGTATCGAGATGGATGAGAGCGGTT